AAAGAGACAATCCTCAACCCTTTAACAAAGAAACAGCATTCCGATATTATATGCGTGGATTAATAATAGACACGCAAATGCGTCTATTAATTTTTAAACACGCAAACACGTGGCAGATAATCGTGGCTTCGCACGGGCCACTAAATTTTACATTCCATCGTCCAACGTAAAATCGGCCTTTGCTCGCGACACCATTTGGCCCATGCAGGACACCGAAAGCAAACCACTTGATTTCGCTTCATTGTGCTGCTTAAGCAGCTGCAATCACGTCACTTCCCAAAAAGTGGCACAAAGTCAGACACCTTGAGACAGGACATGATGAAATCAATGTAAACCCTGGAGTTGCCGGTGGCCACTGCTGCCAGAGACAACAAAACCGTGCACTGTGCACAATACCGTCCTCGAATATTGCCTTCACTGTTTTACCTAAAACTTGGAATTCGATTCGATACATGCAGTGATGTTAGCACAACCATTTAATTAACGCAGAAATAGTTTTGCTTTAAATTCATTTTGTTTTTACGGAATCTGTGATGTTTTACCTGTGTTATGTGTTACACTTCTTGAATGAATGTCAAGAGTAATACCAAGCAATCTACAACACCGCTAAGAATTCGTTTAATGTGCCGAGATACGCGAAAAATTGGTACTCCTTCGATAATTCGCACTGAGTAAGGGTGTAATGCTGATTATCATGTAGTCTATTCTGAAAGCATTTCATTCACGAAAGAATACCGGCCATTTAAAACGTGCTGCCTGACTTCTTATACAATTAGGGAAATCATAATATTTTACGAGAAGAATAAATATGTATTTTCGTTTATTTTTTTAATAATATATATTCGAAATATTAGGGCAAGTCAAAATCAATCATACAATTGAATGGCACTTATGTAGCTACTTTTAAAATTTTATTTGTTTTTTTAGCGGTCATGAAAAATTCCATTAAAAAGCCAATATTCTGTCGTCACTGAAATGACCTCAGACATATACTACACGATAATCAGTATTACAATCTTACACAATGTCGTTTAGGGAACGAGTATCAATATTTTGCATATGTCAGCATTTTGCACGAAATCATGGCCGAAGTGAATATCAGACCACTTTTTAAACTGTTTGGACATGTGCCAACATAAATGCGAAATAATGGCCGAATCACTTTAAGGACTGAGAAAAAAATAAAAATTAAATGTCCTCGGTGTTTATGATAACTGTATTAATTAATATAGCAACTTTAAGTGTATGCTTCACTAAAAAGAGTTTTGGGCATTCAGATACATCTTAATTCCATATTAAAGAGTGCAGTCTTCAAAAGCACAATATGCGTGAATACGGTCAATATACTTATGGTGGTAGCAAGTGTTACACGAACTATGAATGATTTACAGATACCTTCCACGCCCATGGACGCAAGATGAAACCCATTCTACAAGAGTAGATGACCTCCAAAGCCATTAGGGGTACGCAACATATCACACTGTTTCTAGTAAAACCCCTGTTCGATAGACACTGCTCACGTCGCTTAGTTTTGTGAATACGCTGCATTCAAAAATGGCAATATTAGGCAGATAATTAAATTACGGACGCACAGTAAACCCAAATTACAATTATATTAATGTGAATATTATGCCAAAGTGCAAACAGCAAGACACATTCTGAAAAAATAGTGTACAATGGAATGTGGAATTTTGAAAAGAAAACACAAACAATGTTAAAAACTCAATTGTGAAATGTGTTGTGAGAAGGAAATTTTTGTAACAATTTTGAAGTGAAGTATATGGTTTCAAAACAAACATTTCTACCAACTACTCCGTCACCACGTTGCCCATAAAACCCCTGCCCGACGTCAGCGTGCATTTAGTCTACAATTAAGAATTGAAATAAGGCATGCGTCATTAATTGTGTGTAAAAATTACCACTGTATAATTAAAAAAACTAGTAGTTTGAAAACAAAAAAGTTTGAAAAACAAGGAACTAACACGAGCGTTAGTTGCTGAGTTGGAATGGAGCATTTGGGTCATTAACCAGGAGCGGTTGTTTATATACGTGTATACATCTCATTGAACATAGACGTTGATGATTACCCATCATAAAATTATACCTGCATGCAATTCGCACCCTATTTTGGACCTCTTGGACTAAATTTTATTTCATAGTAATAGTAAGAATGTATAGTGATGCTAACGCCGATCAAATTACAGAAATTACGCAAACTCTTACAAATAATAAACTGCGGAAGGTGAAGGCTGTGACGTGTTAAGATATGGAAAGGTCTGGCTACATGCAGTGAGTGTACTACAGGAGTCGCCGGTTATTAAGCCCACGACAAATGAGCCCAGCAGCGTATTAAGCCCTAGTCAGCTTGGGAT